CTCTAATTACTATTTTATAGAAATTTCCGTGAGTGTGCCTGTATCATGTATTAAAACATATACACCTATTAAAATGATAAAAACCTCAAATGCAACCATAGAACGAAATTATCGAGAGTGATTATGGATTTGTTAAATATTGCCAACATGCTGTGTAATCTTATTTAATTGGTGTTGGGAAATGCCAAGCCAGTTTATAAAATTGTCAACAAATATTTTCGTTACACTGACCGCGAAATACATCCAATTCTTTCAATTTTAATTATTATATACACGTATAGATTTATTTATATAGATTTCTTTCTTTCAATGCTGAGAAGTAATTATACATATGTTTCAAACTATAATTTCTTATCTATATTGGACAATTGTTCTGGGGATTATTAATTTCAATAAATTTATGAATATTAACATTTCCAAGTATTTAAAAACAATGCAACTGAAACTGGGTCAACCTAAGAATAGTTAAATTTTGCCAAATGTCACGCAACATACGGGTAAAAATACTAGTAACTTTTTTTTCTAACCCTCTTTGTAGACTTATGTTGACCAAACCCAATACTCTAATCACGCTATATTTTCACTGAATATCCGTATTCATGATAGAAACTACCACAACAGCTCAAACTATACCCAGAGTTTCACCCATAGAAAAAGATAATCAGATAATCGACTTTACGTCGTGGTTTAGGAAGAGGGTCATAAATTGTGCTTCTGTTGCTCGCGAAAAAAAAATCAAACTGAATCTGCCCGTTTTATTTTGATTATACTGTGATATCAATAAAGAATTCAATTTTAAAATAGAATGTCTTTTTGGATATATCCTTCACGAAATTTTGAATTACTCGAAACAGATATTTATTGATTTAATCAAACTATACCCAACACAAACCTGTTGTATATCAAAATACCAGTTAATGGTTTTAGAATTGACAACAAAATCAACATACATAATGAATAATCATAATTTCCCGCGCATTTTCGTATGCTATTCTTATTGTAGAGCCTCCAAATATGTCAATGTCACAAATCCAAGAGTCATGTGACTTTATGAATAGACGAGCGTATAGTACTCAGAACTGACGTTTTATAAAATAAAACGGTGATTGGCGTTGCTATGGCAATAAAGACACTGAACACTTGATGGACTCCGATCAATGAAATTAACTTTTTCAACGTCAAAATTTCTCTCATAAAGATTTTTCACATTTGAGCGTATTTTTAATAAATGCAACGATGACATGGCACAAATACACTTACGTCGCAATGTAGTTACTAGTATATACGAGCAGGACAGAACACTTTTAATATTTGGTAGACGGTTTTTTATATTTCTGATCTATATTTACAATTACATATAATTTGTATGGCGATAATACCTATATGCATGTAGCCACACTGGACGGATTGCCAACAATACTCGACGAAAGTGGAATATACAGTACACCACTATCGGATGACATCCGTGTTAGGAATCAATACAAACTGAGAAAAAAAATTTAGAATATCTATATGCAATATTGATCAAGATTTTTTTTTACTCAGTTACCATGGAATTATGGGGCGTTATTGCTGTTAATTGATAAGAGCAGAGTAATATTTTCCAATATATTTTTTGAATTATTGTAGAGAAATATTCTTGATGTACTTGCGGATTACGTGTTAGTCATGTGTGCTGTAATGTGCAAATAATGCGGATAAGCGTTGCTATGGCAACAACATGGACCAGGTGACCTTTATCCACGCTGTTCATATTTTTGGTTGTAATGTCTGCACAAATTTTATTTGAAGCTTTTGACGTGACGAGTAATATATGTACTGTAATAAATGTAGCACATATGTAACGATATTCAGATGATATCTGCTTTGCCAATAGAATACCACCGAGCAGTTCCATGGACTCAGCATCATTGGGGTCATCGAATCGCACACGAGATTTTCTGGACTCAGCATCATAGGGGTCATCGAATCACATACGAGATTCTCTGTTCGATGGCCAAAGATGGATTATATAACGAAATCAAAACATTTTCTATTAGAAATAATCTGAGATGTACATCAAACTCATGTTTTTTTTGTATAACTAGTAGTTCCTCTCATTTCAAATATTTTACTTGTACCTCCTAGGTTATTTGTGTTTAGCACGCACTGAAGCACAATTCGAACAGTGCATGGTGGTATTTATTGCTATGTACACAATAAATAAGTCATATGTATAACCCGGGAACGCTCTAACTTTCAGGTATGATTTTGACAATGTTGATTATAATTGAAAGGCCTACTACTTACACGTTCAACATCATCAATACTTGACCAGTGAAATAAGACATCTTAACCACGATGACGTCATGTTCAAGTAATTGATCATTAGTTTAGTCACGCCACAGAATTTCTAAAAATATGTGCTTTTGTGTGTTTATATTTTCTACCTCAGAAATATCGTGAAAGAATTCTAGAGTAAAGTATGCAATGCAGTCATAGCATGTCCAGGAATTCAGTCAAAGCTTCAGGGCACTAAAGGATTATTCATAATAATCAATACACACCCACATTTTATACAAGTCGTACATTACAACATAGCTGCTAAGCGCGTGAAAAAGGGGATAAATCAGCGTTGTGTTTTACCCTGCTGTTATTATTGTTTAATAAGAATAAACAAAAAAAATAGTGACAAAACACACTGTTTTTAAACATTAAATATACACAAATGCATGAATAAAACTTAGTAGATTTATTTTTTGGCGAAAACATGCTGGTAAAAAATGTATTTTGAGTTAGCTAGTATGTAAACGTCATTCGAAATGTGTAATCGTGGCCTGTAATTTGCATAAAGTCATGAGCTGTGAAAAAAACAGTATAGTGGTAATGTAGCACATTCTCGGTCAAATAAAACACTTTCTAGTGTTTGCCTCTTTCATTTCACTTGGCAGTGACACACTCTATCACCACTTGAGAAGTATACATCCAGACTGCTGTAGAATATTCCCGGATTTAACACAAAGTACCACCACAGTGGACGGCTAGCATTGTTTACTATCATTCTAAATGTTTAATGATTACTGCTTGCAAATACCAATAATTGCTAAAACACGTTTACCAAATATTATTATAAGTTTGTAATGATCAAAGGAAAGCGTGGAGAACATTTATAATTTTATACTGGTCAGTATTCTGGTGAGTTTCCTCTAGAGCAAACTATTATAGAGCGTTTAAACTTTTAAAATTACCCGAATATCTTTTAAACTTAGAAATTCGTACAGCTTATACTTGTTTTAAAAATCGTTCCTTAACAATAAAGACAGGCAAAATTTAAGAATTGTTTTTGTTATTCAGCAAGTGAGGGTCATTCCATTTTTCGCAACACATGTTCTGGATGGGAATATTGTCTTCGAATCCCACAATATAAAAAAATATTATAATAAGCTTTTGCATTATTCAGCAACTATAATGTAATTTTTGCCATTCGTATGACCTATTATTTACATATCGCTATATAACCACTGTCTGCAACAAACGATATTTGAGCCATATGCGCGCAATGTGGTTATAATGTCCAGTACAGTTAATCTCATGTTTGCATATAACTGGTGAATTTAGCATCTAGAAACAGCTTTCGTTGTCATCTTTTCCCACTTTTTTATAAGTTTTATAAGTTGGACTGTACTGTGTCAATATTCACATTTATCACAGTATAACAGGTGGACTATGCTATATCGGTTTCACATATGATATCAAATCCACTTATAATGATACAAAATTTGACAGGTCATTGTTTATGTTTTAGGCAGATTTTGTGGTGTAATGTATGTTTATGATTGGCCGGTGTGCATTCTTGGTTCAATTTATGTGTGCATATAATTGTATTGAACTAAATTGGTGTCTATATTGTCCCTGTGTCAATTGCTAGATTCTAAATTGGTTAAGAATCCGCACATGGTGGTCTTGGTCGATTTTGTGAAACACTTTATGTTAGTGGAGAGACTATGTTTAATTTAAAACTAGCAAAGCAATTGTGTGTTGACCATGACTGCTAATGACGTTTTTAAACACGTTTTAAAAGGTCAAAATTTCGTACCCTTTTCACTGTTAGAAAGCTAAAAGATCACGCACCTTGAACTCGCGCCTGATAGCGCGATATTTGAGCTTTCTAACCCTTCAGTGTAAGCACGGGTTGGTCATATGCCGTAATAGCCCGTGATCGAGGGTCGTTAACAAGGAGGCTGACGTTGACGTTTTCCTCGTTTTTGCGATCATTGAATTCCTTAAAGCAATAAAAAAACGATAATCTCATTTAAAAAATAACCACCCTTATCACGTTGGCAGTACCGGAAAAGACACCCTTTTTGTCTATTTTGACTGAAATGGTAACCCTAAACGCGTAATGCGCGTTAGAATGCTTTTCTTTAAAAAAAAACCTTTTAACGCGTTTTCTTTCACAGACATGCGTACTAGATCATTTTTGAAGTCGGACCCCAGGGATGCAGTTGTCGACCAGTGGTCGTAGACAGCTGTGAGTACAACATTGCAACACGCCGTAAAAATGTTGCTCATTTGACACCGTAGTAATTCAAGTCATTAATGTTTGTTCGCGAATGTTAATTTGTTTGGCTATGACTTTTAAGCGTATATCTGAGTAATTGCTCACTAATTTCACAGTATCCAGAATTTCAGTCATCCACACGAACTAGACGCATACATCTCAGTTGACGAAATACTAGTTACATAAAATAAATGGCCGATGAACGAGCACGAGTCCCAAGCACCCGTCTTTTAAATGTCGCAGATTGTAGCATAGCGAGTCCCGTTTTATATAGCCGTTATTACCGACTTTGTCAGCGGATGAATGCTGTCAACGTAAATTGTTAGAACATCCTCGCCAAACAAAATGGGAAACAAAACAAAAATACAATTAGACAATTCCAATTCAGCGAAATTATTCTTGTTAATACATTAAAAAGTAAACAACCCTGAGTACATTGTATTGCAATACTATGTCTCACCTGTTTCTGATGTACAGTTCTCCGTTGACAGCGGTGGTCACACTAGATTAAACTCATAGTACATCTATTTATGTATTGCGACCAGGTAAAGCGCTCTGTTTTGAATATCTACCCGGTTATAGAAATATAACGGTTTAATGTTTGTGTTATTAAACGTCGCATAACGTACCCGAGATCATCACGTTCACAAACCTTTCAACCAAGCAAAGACACAAACAGATGGTATCGTGTCAACCTCTAGTCTCCGCCGCCTCGTGGAGAACTGACCTTATTCTTCTTCCAAATCA